CAGTCTTTGCCGTAATGTATTTTGGGGTTTAAAAGCCACTGGGACGTTATGTTTAGAAAATAAACGTCTCAGTTTCTCTGATACTCCCTCAACATATGGAATGACCACTCTGAGAAGGTGCTATTTAAGAGACTGAGCTGAAAACAGCAGCTCAGACTGAGGAAGTCTCTCGGATGAGAGACAAAACGTTTCTACATTTTTTTTTTTGTTTTGCTTTGTTTTGTTTTTTTGAATGTCCAGAGGACCAGATTTAACTTTTTTGTATTTTTCTACCTGGATTATTGAGCATGCATCAGGATAACAGAGGTAAAGAGACAAATAGAGAAAATGATCGACACAAAATGGAAACCAACCTTGAATGGTGCGCTTGAAGAAGGCCTTGCAGGCCTCACATGATGCAACTCCATAGTGATACCCTGACGCAATGTCCCCGCACACCAGACACAACCGCTTCGGCATTGAATTCAACATGTACTCGCACTTAATTTGTGAATCTTCCCCAATAGTTGAAGAGCAGTCCTCATAACGTTTCGATCCTGGGCCTCCAGCAGGTCCCAGGGGTCCTGCGTTGGAACCATAAAGGCTCGGGGAGTCTAAGCCATTGGGGTGGCCGTTCATGGTGGATGAGTATGAGCCTGAGGCGTCACTGGAGCCACCAGGGGAGTGATGGTTTAGACTGTCAGTCAGAGAGGCAGGACTCGATGGTTCAGTCTTTATATAAGAAGACGGACAATTGGACTCAATGTGGCGCTCCTTACTGGACATTCTGCATAGAAGCCTAAAAAGTGAGAGAGAGAGGGAAGTAGAATAAGATGAAATGCACATCTATACAGTAAAAATAATTTAAAGAGATAATTCTTCAGATTTTATGTATTAAATATAAACGATTGATTGAGTCATACGCAAAAAGAAAGTAAAAGACAAACGAACTACATACAAAATATTGTATAATAGGGAAATGATGAAAGCGAAAGAGCAGCCGAGGGCCTTCTCTAGTATCACATGGCAACACAAACATGCTCAGGGACGAGGTCATCCGTCACTCTCAAGTCAATAGTAGCTTGTTCAACATGAAGGTAATCAGTAAGCAGCCCCTCTGCTGCTCAGTCATCCCAAAGACAGCTCATACTCACAGAGACACACCGTTACATCGGAGCACACGTACAGTACATGTACAGCTGCAGAAAACAGTGGTGCCCACACAGTATAAAAGTCTATAGTTCAAAAGTAAAAGGCATGATCATCAGAATGACTATCGTTAGTTGTCTCATCATTTCTTGCTCTGCTTCTTCCTTCATTTTCTTTCTCTCCTCTGTTGCATTTCCTTAGTTCTCTCCCTAAGGAGGCTGGCTGCTGTCTTAATGGCAGTTGTAATTAACAGCTATCTTCTCTCTATCCATATCTTCCCATCCCTCCTTTTGTCTACTTTACTATCTATCTGCCTGTTTCTCTATCACTTCCTATTCAGTGCCATCTCTTATTCTCATTCTATCTCTGCCCCCTCTCTTTATTTTCCTCTTTGCATTACTGCTCTCTGTCCCTCTGACTCTGCCCTCCCTCCTTTCACTCTCTTTCATTGTTAAAGGCAGAAAGCACAAAAGGGTTTTTTAATTAAGGCAGGATGCTGCTAAACGAGGGACTTCTAAAGTCCAGTCGGCCTGTAAAAGATCCCCATCCCACAGGGATCCATAAAACACAGACATTGCCTTTACGGAGAATGGGAAGCTGCTCAGGTGGGGGAATGGAGAATGAATGCAGACAGGAAAACAGACAGGCAGACAGGCAAAGGCAACAGAGCGACAGAATGGGGGAGGAAAAAAAGAGGAGTTTCAAGATTGATCACCAATGATCACCAGTTTTAGATCCAATTGTACAATTTATTTAAGATGCAGCACATGACACTTTATTGTATCTGTTGTGCAAACAGAAAGTTCATGTCAGAACTACACAAAAATCCCAAAAAACAAAAGTTGTTTTGTTCACGACTTAATTTGACCTATAAGATGCACAATACTTTGACCTTTTCACCCTTTTTATCATGTCATTCATTAGTTACTTCTAAAAGTAACTCTAATTCAGAAACTCAATAAATTGTGGCTTTGTTGTATTCAACAATGTCTATAAATCCTTTTGTCTGATACTAAAGTGGGCCTTTTAGTTTGTAATGAGAAATACAGCGAGAAAGATGCTGAAACAATGCAAAACTAAAAAAAAAGTAGGTAGAAAAATAAATAAAGCCAAAGAATGAATGAATGAAAACATAATGGGACATAAAGTGTTAGTAAAAGTGAGAAGGAAGAGACTATACAGTACACGTGGGAAAGAGGGATGACAAGAAAAGAAATGACATGAAGTTGTCTTTTTCCAGCAGAGGAAATGAAAACTGCAACGACAGAAAAAGGGAGCAGGCCCAGACTTAGTTAAGTAGATGATGAAACGGTGATGATTTAATCTCTTCTTTTTCAGTCTTTCTGCTCTTTTGTCCCTCTTCCTATTGACTGTCAATCCCACTGAGTACCATTAAGCAAAAGTGTTTTAGTGCTAAAAGATCTCTTTCCATTCTCCATCCAGTCTCTCTTTTCCTCTATCGTGTCGTTTTTCTGCTCTCTCACTCACTCTCAGTCTACTTATAAATGAAAAATAATTGCCATCGCTGGGGGAGAAATAATAAGAATAAAAATGAATACATGCGTGCAGAAAAGAGGAGCAGAAGAAAGAAGATTAAGAAATCACAGCTGTGCCAAGTGAGAGGTTGAATGCTTCTCTGTATGTATGTTATCAGTACAATTACGGTGCGATGTAGCGGCGGCTCAGTGCTGAAAGAGCGGTCTTATTGTACCTTTTCTGCTCTTCAGATGAGTGTGAAGAGAGAATGTAGGGGTTGGGTCTTTGCTTTATCAATTCTTTACGTTTTTGGTGCTCAAAGAAATTTATTAAAAGTGGAATAGGATTGAACATGTTTTTTTTTCTTTCTTTACTCTCAAGGGGCTCTAAGATGTGAGCAGTGTGACATTCATTGGTGGCGGTAAATAATAATAAAAAATATTTGTTTTAGCTGTTTTGCCTACAGTTCGAAAGGGAGTTAGCATTTTTTTTTCAATCATCTTTTTGAAAACTACTGAGCAAGTTACAAAATACTGTCATTGCTCGTAAAAGCTATAAATTAAAGATAGTTGTGCTTTACATAACAGGGTTGGTATATGGTATTTCCCTAAAATATCAAAATCTAAGAAAGTGAGTTAGTGATACTAAATTAAACCTGGGTTGTTTGGGTTTGAAGGGATAATTACGATTCTCAGGAAATCAAACTTGAATAAATTAAGAGATTCAATTTAGTTGACAATTTAAAACTTGAACAAAACTGAACTTAAGCATATAGAGTAAAATCTATGCTAGTTAAAAAAAAAAGTACCAATTAGACACCTACAGATTTAAAATATTCAGCAGGTACATTTATATGTCTCTCACTGAGAGAGAACATACAGATGGACACAAACACCTAAATGATTACTACTTGTCCTGGTCTGCATTTTCAAGTCAATCCCTGTCATTTTCTCTTCATCCTCATTCCCATTTCTTTTTCCACCTCTTGGGAAAAAAAAGCACAATGGCTGATTAAAAAAAAGAAATGAAGTAGGCAAAGAGAGTGAGAATGAGTGACATAAAGAAATAAAGAGAGAAAGAAAGAAAGAACAGGAAAAAAGCGAACAGGAAAGAAAGAAAGAAAAACAAAGAAAGAACAGGGAAGTAAGAAAGAAAGAACAAGAAAACAAAAGAAAAGGAATGAAAGAGAAAGAACAAAAGAATGAGAAAAAGAAATAAAGAACAGGAAAAAGAAAGAACAGGGAAGAAAGAAAGAAAGAAAGAAAGAAAGGAAGGAAGAAAAAAAAAAGAACAGGAAAGAGAGAAAAGAAAGAAAGAAAAAACAGGCAAGAAATAAAGAAAGAGAAAGAAAGAAAGAACAGGGAAGAAAGAAAGAAAGAACAGAGAAAAAGTAAGAGAAAGAAAGACTTTCTGTGTATATGTTAAAGGAAGGTGGGCCTCTTTAGTGACAAGCTGCCATTAGAGCAGTGCACTGATGCAGTGGGCTGACAACTGGCAGGGACAAACATGCAATCATCGTATTAGAGCCACGACTGCCTCACTTTGTGTCTGTGTGCAGTTTGCTGCGAGCTCCTACAGACTGTGTGCAATAATACTTTATTATATTCAATCTTTGTACACCTGAATCACTAGATGGCAGTCATAAACACAAGCTGATCCTTAAATAACTGCGAACTGATCATACCCCTGTCCTCTGGGTTAGAAAACAAAATAAAGGAGTTTAAAACGTACTGTCACTTCCACTCTTTTAACCTAATAAAAAAGATAAGTTTTATTTAAAATTAAAGCTGGGCTTAATTAACCGGTTCCATCTGTTAGAGAACACAGCTTTAACTACTTCTTGATGAACTGTGGTTGCAGAGGTGACGTTTATTACCGGCTGTGCAGTTTATTTCAGAGTAATTTCTTATGGGGTAAAAAAAAAATCATGTTGAATAAGACGATAAAGGAAAAATAAAAAACTGAGATGAAGCAGGAGTGGTGGCTATACGGAGACAGAAAGACAAGAAGTGCTGACAATGTAGCTACCACGGGTTGGTTAATACCTTTCCATCACACCTAACATTGTGCTTTCACTGCTGATAAGAACACACAGTCCAATAAGCAAAACGGAAAAATAGAGAAAGAGAGAAAATCTTACTCAAGTCTATCTCGATAATACTGGCAATGCTTGAGGAGGGGGGGAGAAAGAAAAGGAAGCAGGAACGACTTAAAAGAAAACATATTGAATTAAAGAATGGCATCAGGATTGGAGAGTGGCAAAATGTATTTATATTTCCATCGTCAAACGAATAAAATGATTTCATCGATGGTCTGAATTGCCTCGTCAGCTCTTGCACTGATCTGTTGGCTTTTCTTTCCTCGTTGTATTTCCCTCTTAATTTTCAAGTAATCTCCCATCTGTGGAGGGTTGTTGAACCACTCGTCAGCTAAGTACGTTTGATACAGTAAGTAGTGCGTGAGCTCCAAAACACGACTTGTTAGCAGCCTGTAAAACAATTAGAGGAGGAGCACGCGCTCTGTTTTCCAGTGGTTACGTCCTCCGCACAAAACTACAAAACAAATTATGTTGTTGAAAATAGTTTCACATCATCCACTTGCTGTCTGGCTCCGTCTATTTTTTGACGTGTTGGTGGGAGTTTGAGCACGTGGCAGGGTTTCACCTCAACAGACTCACAGTGCGTTTGTGATTATAGTTGTTTTAGAAAACAAAAATGAATATATATATATATATATGTGAAAAAGGAAAAAAAAAAACTCCTACTGCGGCAGTCAATCTGAGCCACTCTCCCTCCTACGGGGCTTGCTCTCGTCTTCTGCGCCTGATCTCTCTGTGTCTCAACCCCTCGCTGTCATCATTTTTACTTCTCACATACAAACAGTCTCTATCATTTTTTCTCTCTCCTGCTGGCGCATCCATCCCCCCCACACACACACACACACACACACCTTCACAATGACCACCAATCCTGCACAAACACACTCACACACACAAATAAACACACTAGGGAGCAGATCAATTGCTACAGTGTTAGTCGGGCAGGAAACCTGTAATTCACTTCATTGGCTGCAGAATAAACCTCTGATTACATACAATCAATAAGATAATGGCTATAACACATTTGGCCCAATGGGCTGATGGGTTGTAAAGACTGGAAAAACAAAATCAAAGGG